AGTGTCAACCGCCCGATACCCAGTGTAGAAATTAGGTACTCTGTTCAAGCGTGTTCCATTTGCTAAGGAACGCTCCCGCTTCTCTATACCCACCATACGGAACACAGCAGCATCATCCTGGAAAAAAGTCAAATGCGGACTTCTCGCGTTCTGTTAAATTTACGACGAGTGCTGAGTCCAGAGCTACCACGGCTCGGCTGCTACCAGAGCTTTTCACTTTAATAAAAAATAAACCTTTATGATATATTTCTATAGTAAAGTAACAACCTATATTCGTTCCACTCTTGAGCACACGCCTGCAACTGCAACACCAGGGGAATCGTAGGTACGTTACCGGCCTTCCTTTGAAAAAAAGAGTGGGCTCGTCTTTTTGGATATAAATTAGTCTCCTCTTACTACCTACGGGAAGAAATGGGGTTCTGAGATTCTTCTTATGCCACTTCTACACGACAATGTGGTAGAACCATGCTTCAGCTATATTATAGTTGTAGCACGAGTAAGTCAGTTCATCTGGGGAAGGACCAATCTTTTACAGAATGCCAGCGTAAAAAAGTAGATCAATGCTGCTGGTGCATGTAGAGAACCAGAGACCCTTTTTACTGAAAACAAGGCCTTTAATCTTAACACGCAGATGTGACAAGGCATTGACTTCTAATCGAGGACATATGGGCTACATTATCCACCTTTATTCTATATGAAAAAATGTCCACTTAGGTTATCATAATAATTGCAAAAATAGCTTAAACAGCTAATAAAATGAGAATTTAGAAACCGCATTTTCCACATCAAGCGAATATTATTTTTCGACACAAAGGCACTTCTCTGGTTAAGGCACATACTTCCGGCCTTACGGCCTATTGAGCGCTTGTATGCCTTGCCACCCTCCAGCTTGGTGTAAATTAAATTTTTACTTTAAGCGCCAACCGCAATATAATATTGAAATTTCGTACAAGTAATGGTAAGGTTAGAAACAATGGAAACATGCACAAAGAGATAACATACTACCTTCTTGATAAATTCAAAATTAAACTGCAATTGATTATTGAACTATAAATAAATTTCTAAATTACCTTCGTCTCAAGAATCAAAAATTTTAATAATAATAATAATTTACTCACACAATAAAAAATTACAGAAATCACAATTGTTTACAATTTGAGTTATATTGCATAATACTAAATGTGCAAAGAGTGATCTTTGATCAAAGAGTGCTAGCATAGACTGTGTTATAGGAGTCAATGTCCTCTTATTAAGTGGCGAAGCTGGCGAAGTCACTTATTGATTTCACGATGTCTGTCCGTCTGCCCGTCTGTCCGTCTGTCCGTCTGTCCCACGATTATCTCGAGAACGGTTTTGAATTTTCAAATTCTGTTTTCAGCAATCGATTACTGATCACCCAAGCATCTGAACCTCCTATTTTGAAACTGATTGCTCAACGCCAACCGTCAGAAACCGCTACAAAGCTGATTGCTTCGCCACTTTGCTATGCTGTTAACTTGCTAGGTTTATTCTCTTGTCTATATTGTACAAAATATATCCCTTACGTTATATATAACGTTTATATATAACGTGACCAGTGTGTGTTGCTATTGATGACCTATGGAATTGAGACGTGGTCCTTCACTGCTGGCCGGATGAGGAAGCTGAAGGTCGCTCAGCGAGATATGAAGAGAGCTATGCTCGGAGTTTCTCTGCGTGATAAACTTAAATGAGGATATCCGCAGTAGAACCAGAGTGACCGACATAGCCCAACGGATTAGCAAGCTGAAGTGGTAATGGGCCAGCCATATAGCTCGAAGAACCGACAACGGATGGGGAAAAAAGGTTCTCAGTTTCTCCAGTGGCAACCTCGTAACGGCAGGCAAAGTGTAGGTCCCCCCCCATTAGATGGAGTGACGACCTGGTAAGACATGCAGGAAGTCGATGGATGCAGGTGGCTCAGGACCGTGCTTTGTGGCATTACTTAGGGGAGGCCTATGTTCAGCAGTGGACTTATGAAGGGCTGTAATAATGATGATGATAATATATTGTGATAAAATAAAACGTTATATATCTATAATATAAAAATGAATCGCTGAATGTGTTGCTAAGCGCAAATTTCGAGAGCAACTGAACGGATTTCGCTAATTCTTTTTTATAATATTCCTTGAAGTACGAAGATGGTACTTACGGAGAGAAAAATTTTAAAAATTGCCTGCAAAGGTCTTAAAGCAACCCTTAATAATACTTAAAAGTCTATTTGAACTTTAATACCATACCATAAAGTTTAAGTGTTAGTGGAGGGGTTCCGGGAAGGCAAAATAATTGAGTGACGTTAATATCGTATAAATATTATATCGTATCGAAGGCGGTACGAAGTTCGCCGGGTCAGCTAGTATATATATAACGTTTTATTTTATCACACACAACCTCGATTAATATGTTGCATAACCCAAGCAATGATAAACGCGGCAAATAGCTGAGAGTGCAGTTGATTAAATTTAGTAATATTTTATATATATTACCGTCTTGTTTCTAAACGGGTTAAGAAATAGCTAATGCTGAACTAAGCGCAGGCAGTCACGAACTATTTTCTTGTAAACAGAGTCTAAGAAAAATAATTAGGTCACAGCGAGTATATTACCCACTACTGTATCGTCATAAGTTCTTACAATGCCAGACGTCCAGAAGGGTGTAAAAACTAAATTTTATATTTCATTCATACATGAACACGAACAAATATATACATACAAACTGTTACATTAATTAATGAAAGTTTTACAAAGTCCGCTGCTGAACGTAGATTGCTCAATAGGGGGTATATTTGCCATAGTTGCCACGCTTAGCAAGTTTATCAACTGTTTTCTGCTGCCCATTTCCTGGTTTGTTTGCCTTTGTCGCCTCTCGCGATACGCACCGGACTATATAAAGGTTAGTGAAATTCTTACACCGCCCTTGTATTCCATACATAAATACAGGTCAAATTAATGACAAAAACCTGCTATAATAATATAGTAGTAGTTGTATAAAACTAACGCAAATTAAATCAGTAGCCTAATGGCAGGACGCGGACCGCGAACTCGAAATGTCATGGGTTCGAATCCGCCATTCAACTACTGTCGTGAACCACTTCTAATTCATTTTAAGCGTTCCATTAGTGGTTAAAGGCAATATTAGTAATATTTAATAGCATTTAAATAAATACAAAAGATAAATGACCACATATACATATCTATACCATTAACAGACCAATATATTGTATGCGCATGGGTTTTTTTTATATACGAACGTAAAAGAAGTGACGGACATGTGTCAGAATTGTTTCAAAAGGAATTCCGTGGTCTCTGCCTACCCCTGTGTGATAGTCGTGAGGACTTATGTATATAAATATGAATGTATCTATACACAGACATCATTACTGTTTTCTGAGATTAGGCTCCCGAATTTCAATCTGAATTAACAAATTGATGTTAAAAATTATTGCCTTCTGAATTAAAACTGTTCTGGAGGCCCCGGACGATATCTCTTGTTACCTTTGTGACATCAGATATTTAATGTTATTTTCCTTATAATACGAATTAGTTACTCGGAACTAATTAAGAAAGAAAATGAGTTATGATAAACATTCTAAATATAAACTTTCCTCATAAGAGTCGTAAGATTTCACACGAACATAGATGTTAAATATGTATTAAATTTATTTTAAATATAGGTACCTCGTTTGTTTTTACACATTCTTATATTGTCATCCAATTATGAGCTATGTTCAGAATTTCAAGTATCTAGCTCCTAGGGAGTTTAAAATTAATTAATAAATTCGGCCCGAACAAACATACACAAAAGCGAGTTGAAAAAACGTTAGAGGTGTGCAATGAAAAGACTGAGGGAAAAATAGTGTTTTTTTTTTACCACGTGAAGCAGAGAGTTTGGGCTTTACTGTCGACTAGTCAATTTCACGCTACCCGTTACAGTTACAGCCTATAAAAAGTCCACTGCTCAACATAGGGCTCCCCCATAGATTGCCTAAAATGGATACCCTCTTTGAAGCAAGAAAATATGACACAGTAGCCGCGCTAAGCAAACTGGTCGGCAACCGCAGTTTTCCTTTAAGTTGTTATTAGAAAGACGCTGCAGCCCATCTTCTGGATTGTTTCCCTCTGTTGCCTCTTAAGACACCCACGGGACGATCCCATACAGTGGATAATTCTAACACCGCCACTACACGGATTCACGCTACCCGCTCTCACCAAATCCAGTATATTTTATCATTGATTGTATAGAACCAAACTAACATAGCGTTAGCATAAACTAACATAGCGGATATCTAAATGAGTATTTGTCAAACTTCTTTAGATGTCCTTGATGCCTAGCTTAAAATATATAATTTATACTTTCTATAATTTATATTGAATAAGGAATCTCAAAGCACTTAGCCCCTGAGTTCTAAATGTCACAGTTCGTGAGCAACCCGGGTTCGATCTCTGCCGGTACTCACAGAATACCAACGTGAAACAGTAGAATAATGCCGCTGTGTTTCGTATACATAAGTATAGAGAACGGAGACCCTTTTTACTGGTAACAGGCATTAGTACTCAGAGGAGAGGACGCATCTGCATTTTGATTCTTAATCGAAGATGTCTATGGGCCATAGCATCCACTTACTATGGTAAGTGGATGCTATCATCAGGTGAACGTTGCTCGTTTGATACCCTTATTATAATGTATCCTTCTGGTGATTACTTCAGATGATTTAGTAATTTACCTAGCAGTTTTTTTTTAAATTCTTATCTAGTTGCTTTGATTGGATTCTATCTGATCGAAAGCATCTCGACCTAGTTTAGACGATATTCCATGTGTGAATCGAAAATGAATTTATTTTCATAGTGGTTGCAGTGTCGTCGTCAGCAGCAAACTAATTTTGCTTATTTTTAGTTGATTTAAAATAAATTAAAATTAAAAAATATTTTCAAAAACAAGCTTTTAAATAAATGGTCTAAAAAGAAGAAAATAAACTTTAAATTAAATCAAATCCACCAATTTATTAAATAACACAATTTATATGATATAAAAGCTTGTCGCATAGACACAGAGCCAAGAAAAACGAGCACTAGAAAACACCTGTCATCCCGACCCCAGCAGCGAATCCGGTCGCGCCGTTAGAAGTACCAACATTGCTCTCTCTCTCGCGGTCCCACTACCGCCGCATCAGCGCAACTATCCTGATAGAGTTGAGGCGTTGGAGAAGAGGGGTTTACGTTCATACGGCAGTGTACTTTTCCATATCGCATATCTTGAAAAGTAATGACAATATCATCTCCTAACCAAATACATTTTTTACTGCAATATTATATGATTTAAGTTTTAATCAAAATTTATTTTGATTCTTTTAACATTATAAAAGTCTAATTTATAATGAGCCACCGGATAGAAGCTCTTACAATTTAAATTTTTCTGTTTAACTTTTTTAAATGTTACGCAATTGAATTCCTGAAGTTTGTGTCGCTGCTCTGGGGTGACCACTTAGCATTAAGTGGCGATGAATAATGGATCATTATCTCAATAGCTATAAATATTAATTAGAAATTCGTGCGCTGTCTAAATTATTTTTTCCAAACAGCGCAATGCTTAATTTGAACTTCACCGCACAATACTATAATCGGCAATCGGTAATGTAATCAAATTGTATAAAAGGTTTGGTATCTGAAGTAAAATAATATCTTACATCATCATTTCATCATTACAGCCTTTCATAAGTCCACTGCTGAACATAGGCCTCCCCCAAGGAATGCCACAAAGCACGGTCCTGAGCCACCTGCATCCATCGACTTCCTGCATGTCTTACCAGGTCGTCACTCCATCTCGTGGGGGGTCGCCCTACACTTCGCCTACCGGTACGAAGCTGCCACTATCTTACATAAAATTATTTTATACAAAAATTATATAAAAATAATTTTAGATACAAAGCTAGTGTCAAACTACTGTAATTGCTAAGTACCTATCTCTATATGTAAACATCGATTGCTGTCAGTTAGTATCGCTAAAACTCGAAAACGGCTCGATTTTGATGAATTTTTTTGTGTGCGTTTGAGTGGGTCTCTGAATAGTTTAGATTCACAATTGGACCTGGTAGGTGGCGCTGTTGTCAAGATCCAGAAAGCGCCCGTACGAAGTCGGGACGGATCGCTAGTTTTTAATATTTACGCTATCACTACACATTAACGAAACGGCGGCTACGTGGCGCAGTGGCTTAGCAATTAGTTGCTGCGCTGCGGGGCGCGGGTTCGAATCCCGCACGGAACAAGTATTTGTATGGCCTACAAATAATTGTTCCGGGTCTGGATGTTTGTCCTTGTGCACTCTATGTTTGTAAACTGCCTCCACGATACAGGATAAAATCCTAGTGTGGGGGTAACGTTATTTTTAAGAAAAAAAAAAGAAACAAGATTTGTGCGGAAATTGTCACGTTTAACAACTTATTTTTATTTTATATTCTTAGCTCTTCTGTAGTACTTTGCAGCACTCATAGTTACAGAAAGACTGATCGGTTCAAGGCCACTTTCGGATCAGACCAAAAATTAATAATTTTAAGTATAAATACGTTGGATACGCCAGGCTCTCCGTGATTGCTGTGAAGTAATTGAAACGTCCGGAATATGAAAATAAATAAATTAATAAACTGTAATGGTACAATGTGAAGCTGTACATACAGTTATACATTATATATATATACCACAGGCAATATATTAGGCAAACGAGGAGTTGATAAACGTATTTTCTAAAGTAAGGACACGTTTGATTGGACTCGCAACACCGCCGCACCACATGTTTAAAAACGCAATAAAAATTTAAATACTAGTTTTATACAAAGCTAATTTTGTCTCAAGCTGTTTTATCAGCGTCTTGAAATCTCGGCATCTGGCAGGTAAATACACCACATCTGTTGGGACAGCACTTCAGCGCTCTCAAGCAATCCGAATCCGTGGTACAAGTGTGAGTGCACAGCCAGGGACCCTTGGGATCCTTGGGGCAACTGCCCTGCTTAACTGGAAAAAAGGTGGAATTTTAAAAGTCTTATGTCACAAAGGCAACCAATCTATTTAACATTCAGTAAGTATGTAAGTTGTTACCAAAATAAAATAAAGTAAATTATCATTATAAGCCACAAGTAGTAGGTACCAATCACATTACACAAGTTTCTGCATAGTTACTAATAATAAAAATAATTGGTTACTAATAGTAATAACTGCTGGCCGTATAAGGAAGCTCAAAATTTGCTCAGCGAGCTATGGAGAGGGCTATGCTCGGGGTTTCTCTGCGTAATAGACTTAAAAACGAGAATATCCGCAGTAGAACCAGAGTAACCGACATAGCCCAAAGAATTAGTATGCTTAAGTGGCAATTGGTCGGCCATATAGCTCGAAGAACCGACAACCGATGGGGAAGAAATGTTCTCGAGTGGCAGCCTCGTACCGGTAGCTGAAGTGTAGGGCGTCCCCCGCTAGATGGAGCGACGACCTTGTAAGACCCGCAGGAAGTCAATGGGTGCAGGTGGCTCGGGACCGTGCTTTCTGGCATTCCTTGGGGGAGGCCTATGTTCAGTAGTGGACTTGTGAAGGGCTGTAATGATGATGATGAGTAATAGCTGCCGCTTTACCACATACTGTACATCGAACTTAAACACTGTAAGGAAACCCGCATATCTGAGGAATATAATATATCTAGGACATGGTGAAGTCCGTCAAAGACACTAGAGCAACGCAGCGGACTAATTTATAATTAAATGAATAAATAAGATATTTGTCACAAATCTTTTAACATATCATATACGGAATCCTGGCTTCTGATCTAGCTGTTAAAACTAATTCGATGGCTCCATAGCGCAGTGGCTTAGCAATGGATGGCAGTGCTTGGAGCCACAGGTTCGAATCCCGCACGGAACAAATATTTGTATGGCCTACAAATAATTGATGCAGGTCTCGATGTTTGTCCTTGTGCAATTTATGTTAGTAAACTGCCTTCACGATACAGAAGAAAATCCCAGTGTGGGGGTAACGTGATTTACAAAAAAAAATATTGTTCTATTACTCTCTCAGAAATGAGATAATTGCCACATTCTCGATCGCTTTACTTTGTTAGACGATGATTTATTTTGAATCCGTCGACTGGCACTTCATTTCTTTCTATACGTTTTGATAAATCCAAGATTCATTAACTTTAATAATATCGTTACTACTACTACCCTGAAGCGCACCTACTTAAAATTTATTAATCATGTCACCATTCCACGTTGGCCTGCTTCTGAGCATTTGTGAGGCTGTACGCGAAACTATCCTGCTCTCGCAAATATATGATTTCGTGAACGATACACGATCCAACCAGAGCCGTAGTAGCTCAGATTTAAGTAAGTTTCACAGTATGCGAGCAACCCGGGTTCGAGCCCCGCCGGCACCAATGAAATTGTTAATTGCAATTTTAAGTGCTTATTTACCACGTAACCTGTATGTCTGAGAAATAAGAAAAAATATTTCGAAGATGTGAAATTCGTCAACACGCATTGGGGCAGCGCGGCGTACATGTCCTTGCCCTAAAACCCTCTCCGAAATGAGAGGAGGCCTGTGCCCAGGAGTGTGACGTATATAGGCTGTAACTTTAAACCGATCCAACCAGCAATATGTGCTAAATATTTTTATACGTTGTTAGCAAATAAAATTTTTACAGAGAGCACGTTTCTTCCGTAACATCCATCAAAAGGAGACCACTTCTTTCTACATCTTATAATTAGTCGAACGAACTAATATTTAATATATTAGTGGTAGACAATTGACTTAGAGGGTCTTTATCTATAAATATAATTTAAATTTCTGTTTATGAATTGGTCCGGCTTAAAGCGATATTCGAAATCATAAAAAATCATCGCACGAAAATATTCCTGACGCAGGTCCATTTTGCGATGTAACACAATAATTCAATTTAGCTAGTAAAAATTGTGTAGAGAAATTTAAATTTGGAACATTCGTATTTTGACTTGTTAATAAACGTTTTTCAAAATAAATTATAACTGGCCAGTGTCTCACGCTATTCTTTTTCCGAAAACTTTCTGAGTGGCCTGTCGTATGCAGCGTTACTTTGCCGGCATGTATGTACGTATGTAATAAAAAACCACCACCATTAGATCCTTAAAGACCACAGATGGACTTAAGAAGAAATTGCCTAAATCATCACGCTTGGGCGGCGGATTGACAATCGTAATACACAGCAGTCACACAGCTTTGACGCTGCCCGTCTCCGATCTGAGTGTTTATCTAGTATAAACGGGAGAATATACCGCCCTCTGTGGGAAGCCATAACATTTTTATGGTATTTATAATTAAACAAAATCTTACTATAGTTGACGAAATGTCTTCTGGTCATGGGATCGACACATAAAGAACCACCACACGTTGTTGGGCAACACAGTTGAGAACTGCTACATGGCCTTTGTGGACCACATTCCGCGTCGCATACGTCGACCGACAACGTCGGAGGGCAGGAGCCGTCCTGACATAACGACACTGTGATGGACACTGTAAAAACAATTTCAATTGTATGTCGTTAGATAGGAAGCCTTCTACTATCCTTAGGATTCTGTCTCGCTGAATGTCACTTATCTACCTATTTCTGCCTGCAAACAGTATTCACTGTTGTATTTATAGAAAGCCAAGATAGTAATAGGCTTTATGCAATTCATCTTAATCCTGAAGGCGTAGTGAAGAGTGCACGCCTTGCAATACATAACGCAGTGTTGGTACCGACTTTGTTATATGGCAGCGAAACCTGGGTATGCCAGAAGAAGCATAAAAGCAAGTTGAATGCAGTGGAGATGCGATCTCTTCGTAAAATGTGCGGCGTTACCATGGCCGACCGAAAGCGAAACGAAGAGATTCGCAATATGGCAGGTTTGAAAGATGACCTTGGTTTGGGCACGTTGAGCGAATGAGTGAAGACCGAATGGTGAAGAAAATATATAGCGCGAAAGTTAATATTAAAAGGTGTCGAGCTAGACCGAGACTAACTTTCGAAGACCATGTGAGCAAATTGCTCGAAGAGGGTAGGGTCAAAAGTACTCGGATACCTAGACGTGCATGCATGAAGAAGATAATGAATCTGAAAGTAGCGAAAGAGGTACGTAAGGATCGTGACACTTGGCGATCTGTTCTCTCTGGCTACCCCGTCAGGGATTTTGCGTGAAGATAAGATAAGATAAGATCTTAATCCTCAGCGGTGACAATACAACTATAAACGACTACGTTTTTGACCAGGTGGTCTGGTAGAATTTTTACCACATCAATTTCATAAAAAGTAAAGTACGTTCACGCAGATTTAAATCTATATAGTTATTTAAAATCGTTGGTGCGTCTACTAGTCGTGTAACATTTGAACTACTAGATCAATTCGATAGATGGTGTTGAAGTCATGTTATTAACGAATTCTTTATTTTATGGGTCAAAATGACTAATATCCACAATATTGTTACATTAGTGCAGTGCCAAAAAATTTTATCAAAAATTTAGGACTCGGTGCTGTGGCTTGGCAGTACAAATTTGTCGTCTCAATCTAAAAAGGACCACTCTCACGTATTACCGGCGTAAATATAGCTACTTAATGCTGCTGCATTACGTATGGTGAGTGTAGAGATAGATAACATAAGAGCTTATTTTACTGGTAACGAGACACTTCATTTATCTTCAGGTAACAACGCGTCTGCATTTTGATAATAATTATCTATGATACATGTAGATTTGTATAGGCCCCAGTATCCCCTTGCCATCAGATGGCCCGTGTGCTCGTTTGTCACGTTTCCTGTATTAAAAATGACATAAACCAATCCGGATGTAAAGCGTAGTGATAACGGCGAATCGGTGGCGTAGCAAAGATTAAACAATCAATCAAACATTTTATTATGTTATGTCAAAGAAAATATACAGTACGCGAAAAGAAACGAGGCGCGCGGGGCGTGAAACGGGCCGTCGCCGACTGCCCTGGCCGAGGGCTGGTACGTAGTAGTTTGCGTCTCGTTTATATGTATGGTACATATAATATGTTATATGTAATAGTTTTAGAGTATATATTTGTACTTATATATATATATATATATAATATATACTATGTACCATTATATATTTCTATTTTATGGCTCTAATAAATATAATGTTATTTTTGTCGCTAAACCAAACACTTTTTTTATTATTTTCTTGCAATCCTGTCCATCCAAAGGTTTTCTGGAAGAGAGCGCTAACCATTAGGGTGGTCTTGTCGCTAAGAGCGATCTATCAAAAATGTAAAAAAATATATATGTTATTTTTTGGCGTACAATAAAGTGTTATCTATCTATCTATCTATGCTTCCCTATGGATTTTCCTAAAAAATTATACATACGGCTACGAATTTTTGCAATTGTTAGAAATAATAATAAAAATTACAAAAGTCATCGAAAAAGTCAAAAATATATAAGAGTAAGTAAATTTTAAAGGGTAGTAGGTAATACTGATTATTGCGTACTGATACTAAGTGTTGGTTAATTATTTAAGATTACCATTAACTGTCGTGCATATTTTGTTTTGTCGGAAATTTTAATATTCCCCATCTGTAAAGATATTTAATAACATTTTATTTAAAATTGATCGTATCTTTCACTACCTAAATACATAAGTTTACATTATATAACATATACCTACTATGTATTTTCTTTGGCACAAGTCTACAATATTCCATTTCGGTTCGGTATCAACCCTAGCGTTACACGCTCCACCTAAATGTCACCGCGCTTGAACTCTCACGTACAGAGAGTGTCACCGCTGTGCTTATGTTTTGTTATGCTATGTATATATGGTAACAGAAAAATATTACTTAACAAACTGTGTAGTTCGCTTTAACCTGCGTGTAGAGCTTATAATATAATTTTAAAAAATGTGAGTGTCGTGGAACACTCGGTTGGAACGAAGTTCCTTTCGTAGTATATTATTATTGATAAACGTTTATTATTATTGATTAACTAATACAAATAAATGAATTACTAGTATGTAATAAAATGTCATTAAAATAAAATAATATTTCTTTCATGACAAGATAAGAAGAAGAGCGAGCGTGATGGATATTATTCCATCTCGCTTCCTTATAGTTATAGCAGCCAAGGCTGTCTACTACGTCAGAAGGGGTCGTAACGGAAAAATCTTGCACTTTTTGCGCCTAGCCCCCATCCATCAAATCCGTGCCGTCCGTTAAGGAACTTCGTTCCAATATATTATTTTCATTTGTTTTCATTTACTCATAATTAAAATAATGTTTTATTATTACAGTTGATAACATTCCGCCTGCAAAGCGTGGCTATAGCAAATATCCACTCATATCAGCAGTGAACCTTTGATAGACTGTAATGAACAATGAATATCTAAAGAATAAATGGAATTGATAAGCTAATCATCAATTACATGTAATAATCATCATTAAAATACACCGATAAAATTAGAGAAAAATACATATAAAATGCAGCTTAAAATTTAATAAAACAACATTCATAGAAGAACTCTTGCAGTTATAGCGATAACAGTTCTAACTTCATTTAATAAAAAATTAAAATTTAACATGATAAAGTCCGTAAAATTTGTTTTATTGAATGTGTTTTATTCGTATAAATTTAAGAAATCATTATGAATCAACAAATGTATGTACACAGAAGATTTTATGCAAATGGAATATAATATTAACCTTTATTTATTAAGTATATGCAATTAATGTAGTAGTTACATTTATTTAAAATTAATGTTAATTACTTTTCTTACATTACATTGAAATAGGTATATAAATATTTTATTAAAGTGTGTTAAGATTTTAAATTACAAAATATACTCACAAAAACAAACCAAATAAAATCGAAACATTTTCTCACTATTTCACATACGCTAGCATCCTTTAAGCCTATGTTATTTCACACTAACCTTACACTCGACAGTAGTGTTTTGCCCGTGACCACGATAAGGATCTAATAAATTATATTAACAAGTATATCTACTGCTCTCTGTCATATTTAAGGTCAATATGATTTGATTAGATGACCACAATTACGTTTCATAACACTGTTATGAAAACAAGTGATTAACCCAAGGATTTACTTGTTGTGATTAACCCAAGTAGTTTAACATTTTAGTGTTACGTATCAAAAGTAGCAATAGATCCATATTACACTAAGTTTTTAATAATTTAATAAAAAAAGTCTTAAACACATTTTAGGTAATTTTTCAATTTATAGGTAATAATAATTAATTTTCAATATGTTATACTTTGTTAATTCCATCGAAAAAATTTGACTTTAAGTCAACCAATTGCTATAATTATAATTGTTAACATGACTGTCTCGTGGGTTCAAATCTCCGGTCGACACAATATCAGTTGTTGGCTTTTCTCTGATAAGATATTATCCGTAGCACTCCTGAGTCAGTAAGTTGTTGTGGTCACCCCTCAATTCTCTCCGGTCGTGTCTGACACCCGTATTCTAGAACGATACTATGCGTGCGCACAGTAGGCTTTAACGCACAGTGAACGAAATTTTGTTTCATAAACGTCACTTGAGTGTTAGACGACACTAAGCGCTCATCAAAATGAACGCACAGATAAAGTAGCTCGCTAGCTACTTTACGCTACGCATAGTGCGACAAATCAACGTAAATGTCAAACTGGTATAGAGTATATAGCTTGTTTGTTGATTTGTGATACGCTGATTGGTTTTGTTTGAATAATTGCAATGGATTACAGCAGCGAAGATGATTTTGATAATTATATCCTGGAGAGAATAAACGTGCAAAGAACGATTAGCACAAGAAACGTGATACATTACTTTCAATATCCTCTTGATTATTACAGTGCCAATGAATTTTAAAGTCACTATAGGTTTTCAAAAGATATCGTAATAAATATACTTCTGCATCTAATAAATGCAGATCTTTTGAAAGTTACTGGTGGCCTTAAGATTTTATTCATCTGGGAGTTTCCAGATTTGTAATAACAATTCAGTTAATCTACCTATCAACAGTTTCAAATCCACATTATTTTAATAATACTTATGCATAGGTACCCTATAATAACAGTACCAGTACCATTAACGTCTTTTACCTGAAAGAAAACAACACGTGTTATTATTTTTTATCTGTCATTCAACTCGAGTGTAGTCGCGTCACAACGCTAACCAATCACGGCGCCCCATTCAGTGCTATGTGTCCGCACAACAAAGAGTCCACTAAGTATTGTTCATGAAATGAACGGCCTGCCATGACGAACGCAGTGAGAAATACCTTACTCAGCATAGTGTTGCTACTATACTTATGTATGTGTCGTTTGTGAATACGGGCCTGATTGCCGTCCCATCGGACTATGAGAGTGAACCTTGTACTTACGCATCACTCGCGCACTATAATCCTGTCCTGTGCAAATGGCTAGTTTCCGCCGTGAACGAAAATACACTCTGGAACACATTATCATTATAATGTACGAGTATCGAACTCGATCACAAGAATAAGTCTACTGTTGCTTGACGGCAGATATAAGAAAGAGCTTGGCTCCATCCAACCCCGACTAATATATAGGCAAAAGAGCCCCATATCTATAACATAAGTTACTGCACTGAATACGCATTAGAACTTCTGTTGGGTCAAATTCACGTTTTTTTCGCATCGAATTGGCTCACAAATCGTACCCTTTGTAATATTTAAACAAATGGTCTCCGTCAGTTGGAAATACAGTACAGCGTTGTTTTACGCTAAAATATGTGGTGAATTGTTTTCGCCGTGTTTGACTAGTTTTTTTACTCATAATTACTTTGAAATAAACCTTGTGTAATAAATTAATGTTGGCTTGGAGAAATTATGCAATGTTACTAGGTGAAACAAATTATATAATAAATTAACGGATGGATAAGAAAAACTAAGTTCAATAAATAAATAAATTAAATGAGTGTAATATCTGGCATAGTGTCAGCACGATTGGGTCGGCTCGACTTGGGAAGGAACACGCTCTCACAGAATACCAGCATAAAATAGCAGCTAAACGCTGCTGTTTCGTATGGTGAGTGTAGAGAACCGGAGACCTCTTTTACTGGAAACAAAGCATTCCATCTTAGTCTTCACGGGTGACAACGCATCTGTATTTTGATTCGTAATCGAGGATATGTATAGATGTCTATGGGCCACCGCAACCACTTACCATCAGGTGGACTGTGTGCCCGCTCGTCAGTAAGAGAAGGGGAGTTTAAAATTAATTCATAAATAAATAAACGGAAAAAGTCCAGATCATTCTTATGTGCCGCCATTTAAACTCGTTGTTGTGTACGCACTGAACTATTCATATTTAAATTGTTATTATGTACTTTATGAAAAACAAACATAAAAAGGATGCAATATACATTTTAGTATCCACGAGTCTAGAACCTTCATTATCATTTGCAGAGAATAGACCAAAAAGGAAACTAAAGTACGATTATATTAAGAATAAACAAATCCAAAACTTCCTGTTTTCCCATCGCTAGTATCGGTCACAATGTAAATAAACTTTAACAGAATAATTGACTTCCTAAAAGGCCTGTATAGCGAGGACTAAATTGTTTGTACTTTGAGGCAAATCGGATTATAAGCGGCCACTATCTGCTACATGTCACTTAGTGAAGTCCTAATTGAACTATTTTGTTAAATGGATTTCAAGCCAAAAACAACGAAAAAGGAGACAATTTCTTTTTGTATGGAGAATGGGCCCACCACAAATTGTGGCGTAACTAAATGAAACACATGTCAATTTATTTCTTATAATCTATAGATTACAGTAGTAATGTTAATTTTACCGTATTTAACTAATGGGAATGGGAATTTTGAAAAATTAACAATTAAAATATTAATATCACAATAACCTAAAAACAAACTAAAAGCGATTGTCTAGTAGTTTTCACCGGTATTATAAGTTAAAATATGCACTGGTCAATAATTAATAATGTAAAACAAAGTTGTAGGTACATTCAGCATTTATAGGTACTTTAAGATTGATGGAAAATCCTTTTAGTAGTTCGTTCTTCCTTACAAGCCTTTTTTTTCATATAACATTAGCCAGAACACGAATATCAGAAAAACTCTTTTTTCAGATTTCATGATTCCGGTTAAATTTTCATAAAAATAAAATAAAATCTAAAAAATAAAATCTTTAGACCGTTTACTATAATAATTTAGTATCTTTTTTTGAGTAATAAAATTAAAATACGTTAAAATTTCTAGTGGACGCTAAAACTAACAAAATAATTCGTGGCGTGAGTTCTTGGAGAACTTGGTTACCCACGTTGAACAAAGAAGAACCCATTTGAATGGGCCGAGGTGGCCGCTGCAAGTGAGCTTGCGCAGCCCACTCCGAATGCATTTTGGTGTAGTACGGTGGAAAAGGTGTCCTCTTTTAAATCCCGCTGCAGCCTATCCTCTATTACTCTGTCAAACCGTTGATACGGTGGTGGTAGGGCCGCCGCGGGGGAAGAGTATCGAGTGTCCCCACTCTCCACGGCTGAAACTCAGTCGGCGGCGTAGTCATAAATCCAATCTGCTGCAGGTGTCAGGACGGCTGGTACTTCTGGGTACTCGTTTTTTCTGGCCCCATGGCCTCCGTATATCGGACTCAGGGGGACTCGTCACGCAGATGGGGTTGGCGGTCGTAAAGAAAGTGTGGCGGCGCGTCGTGTTCTGGTGCGCCTTACCAAGGAAGAAGAAGAGGGAAGAGTTGTCCTCTCCCGTGGAGGGCCTGGTCAGTGCTGATAGGGCCACAAATCTAGCTCTGCCGATATGCGGCTTACTTAAAGAACAATGGGGTTTTAGTCTGTGTACATACGACATAACCCGTCCTTGCCCTCGCGAGGTAGTTATGTGTAAGATATTATAAAAAACAGGAAGGAGCTCCAAGTTATTTTTCAATTAAAATGTATTTGATAAGATTTACTGAATATTGGCTCTTGCAAAAAGAATACTAAATAGTTTTACAAAGTGCATTTGTAAAACATTCGTTTTTTTCGCAAATTGACGGTCTGCATGTAAATGAGTTTTAAAATATTTTTCGTGTTTTGGAAGCGAGCTTTTTTTGCCAGCAGGTTTTAATAATATTTATAGATACTTTTTAGCTAGGAAGTACAAATCAAAATGCAGTGAAAGTGTATGAATTTAAAATACTCTTAACTAAATCTATACTAATATTAAAGGTATGATATAAGAAAATATGGGAGGCTATTTAGATACAGCGGCATTAAGGTGCTATTTTAGGCTGAAATTCTGTGAGAGCGTATTCCTACCCCTGTCGAGCCGACCTGTCATGCTGCAGACATAATATAGCTGCAGCTTGGCTCTAACACATCGTTGCCCTCTCATTACGGAGAGGGTTTTAAGGATGAGTCCACCTTGTTATTGCGGGCAGATTTAAAGTCTTCGAAATATTCTTTTAATTTCTCAGATATGCAAATTTCTTCATGATGTTTACACGCGTGGTACAGAACGTGGTAATCAGCACTTACACCAGTAATTATAAATAACAATTTCATTTGTGCCCGCGGGTATCGAAACCGGGTTGCTCGCGTACTGTAAAATTTATAGCGAGCGTTTAGCCCCAGAGCTACCACGGCTCTTATGATGTATATTATACTAGTGACCCACTTTAATGTAGCTTTATTTAGATTTAAGGTAATCAATGATCATTTGCCACATTTATTTTTAGGTTTAAAAAAATCTTTAAGTTATTTAAATAAAATACAACCTAGATCCCTCCCGGCATTGCTCTCTATTAGATCGTAAAGTTTCACCACAACCGGTTTAGCCATTCTGAAGATTAGCCTAGACAGACAGACAGAAAGACAAAATTATTAAAAATTGTAATTTATGTCTTAATAGTTTGCAAATAATTCCCCGAGCTTAATAGATGCTAGTTATTTCAATATTA